AGGGAAGTGCTGAGCCATGGACCACAACCACAGGCACAGGTGTGGGCTGACATGGGCATTGCAGTCGTGGCCTCTGTAGGGGTGGAGTGGTCTCAGGAAACGTGGAGATGGCACAACCTCATGTCACCCAACCCACTGCAGGTAGACTGCAGGTCAGTTCCTTGGCCCTTGGGTGAATGGAAGGAGGAACCCAAGCTTGGTGGCAAGATCATTGCCACATGGATAGAGGGGAACTGTGGGAGAAGGGAGTAGCTCCCCTAGAGGAGTACTGCGAGTGGACAGCTGCTGTGTGGGAGTCCTGCCATGGCAGTGTGGGTCTCCACAAGGCAGCCGACCAGCTCCTGGCATGGTGAACAGGCTTGGGGGTGGGGTGGGGCAACCAGTATGTGGTGATCATGGTGGCAGCATGCAGGAGCAGCACACCCAGCTGAGCCAGGAAGTCTCTGGGATCAAGTCTCAGATCTCAGGTGCTCTGGCACAGGGTAGATGCTTGGGAGGGTTTCTTGTTGCACAACGGAAATTACTCTGGGTTGTTGTGGGGGATCCCCTCACTCACCAGAATCCTCCCACTAGTTGTCCAGTAAACCAGGCTGGCTGTTTGACAAGTAACTCTCAGTGTGTGCCACTTACCTGGGTGACATCTTAACTCCTCCCCCTGTTTTTTTAAAAAAAAATTATAAATCCTTTTATTGGTGGCTCTTACAGCTCTTATAACAATGCACTCATCTATTGTATCAAGCACATTTGTACATAAGTTGCCATCATCAGTTTTGAAAACATTTTTTCTACTTGAACCCTTGGTATCAGATCCTTTTTTTTTTTTTTTTGCCTCTACCAAATTCTTTAGTCCAAATTGATAAAACATTCCATCAAGGTGTGTTGATAATTATTGGTGATTAAAATGCAAAAGTTGGAAACTAAGGGTAAAGAATCAAACCAAACTCACTGCCATGATGTCCACTCCCAATCTTAGAGGAAGGAAGGGCACTTGGGGAAAAGGGCCTTGAGAGAAACAAAGCTGGAGATTGCATGACAGAATTTGAATTTTGCCAAACCAGTAATCTCTTCACTGCTACCTTTTCCAACAACCAAAGACCAGTTATATACATGCACATCTCCCGATGAAATACAAAGAAATCAAATCAAATACATCCATGGGAAGAAGCAATGGAGAAGCTCAACATCAGTAGCCAAAGCGTGGCCAGCTGCTCAATTTCTCATATGTAAGTTCAGGTTGAACTTGAAGAAATTCACAAAAGCCAAAATACAACTTTGAGTATATTTCACTTGAATTTTGAGAACATCTCAAGAATAGATTTGGCTCATTGAATGTTAATGGCAGGAGACCTGATAAACCATGGGATGACACCAAGAACATCGTACATGAAGAAAGCAAAAGGTCATTAAAAAGACAATAAAGAAAGGTTAAAGCAGATGTCAGAAACTTTTTCTTGACGATAGAGTAACGAACATAAACGCAAGTCACAATGAAGTAAAAACTGAGCAGAAAAATTCAGAGGGGGCTTGAGAAGACAAAATATTATAATGAAACATGCAAAGACCTAGAGTTAGAAAACCAGAAAGGGCAGACCTGCTCAGCATATCTTAAGCTGAAAGACTGAGGAAATAATTCAGTCATCAAGTTGCAATATTAAAAGATTTTATGGACAAAGTGTTGAACTATGCCAGAAGAATCAAAAGAATATGGAAGGAATATCCAGAGTCACTGTATCAAAAAGAACTTGTCAACATTCAACCATTTCAAGAGGTAGCATGTGATCAAGAACTGATGATATTGAAGAAATAAGTCCAAGTTTCACTGAAAGCATTTGTGAAAAACAAGTCTCCAGAAATTGATGGAATATCAGCTGAACTATTTCAACATGTTTGTAATGCACTGGAAGCACTCACTCACTTATGCCAAGGAATATGGAAGATTCCCTCCCAACTCGGTGGAAGACATCTATATTTGTACCCATTCCAAAAAATTAAAATGGCGAATCAACAAGATGCAGAAATTATCAAACAGTATCATGAATATCACATGCAAGTAAAATTTTGCTAAAGATCATAAACAACATTTTACAGCAGTTCTTCAACAGCTGCCAGAAATTTAAGCCAGATTCAGAAGAGGAAACAAGGGGTAGCATTGCTGATATGATATATCATGGCTCAAACCAGAGAATGCCAGAAAAATGTTTACTTGTAGTTTGTGGACTTTACAAAGGCATTTGTTTATATGGACCATGACAAATGATGGGTAATATTGAGCAGTAGGAATTCCAGAACACTTCATTGTACTCACACTAAACCTATGCATGGCACCATTCAGACAGAACAAGGTAATATTGCATGACTTAAAATCAGTAAAGCTGTGTATCAGAGTTGTGTCTTCTCACCACGCTTATTAAATATGTATTGTGAGCAAATATTTTGATAAATTTGACTATATGAGAAAGAACACAGCTTTGGAAAAAAGCTTATTAACAACCTGTGATATGCAGATGGAACAACCTTGCTGGCTGAAAGAGCGAAGGACTTGAAGCTCTTGATGAAGATCAAGGACTGTAGCCTTCAGCATGGATCGCAACTCAATGTGAAAACAACCCAGACCATCACAGCTGAACCAATAAGTACAACAACATAATAAATGGGGGAAAATATTGAAGTTCTCAAGGATTTCATTTTGGTGAGTCCACACTCAATGCTCATTGTGCACCAACAGTTAAGAAATCATACGACACATTTCATTGGGTAAATCTGCATGATAAGACATCTTTAAAATGTTGAAGAGCAAGGAAGTTACTTTGAGGACTGAGGTGCACCTGCCCCAAGCCATGGTATTTTCAATCGCCTCATATGCATGTGAACGTTGGACGTTGAATTGTGAAGGCAAAGAAGCATCAGTGAATTTGAATTGTGGTACTAGCAAAGAATACAGAAAGTACCATGGATGGACCACAAAAAGAACTAACAAATTGCTTGGAAGAGTTACAGTCCGAATGCTCCTAAGAAAGGAGGATGATGAGATTTTGTCTCATGTACTTTGGACATGTTATCAGGAGAGACCAGTCCCTGGACAAGGGCATCCTGCTTGGTGAAACAGAAGGGAAATGGAAAAAGGAAGACTTGATGAGGTGGATTGAATGCAACGATGGGCTCAACGTCAGAATAATTGTGAGCATGGCGCAAGACCAGGTGGTGTTTCTTCATGTTGTACAAAGGACCACTATGAGTCAAAACGGTCTAGATGGCAGTACTTAACAGCAACAACAAAATCCATGAATATGTAATATTTCTCCCCCCCCCAAAGAATTTTATTAGAAGCTAATCCAGACATCATATCGTTCCTCATACCATCATACCATTCAATCATATCAGTGTTGTACAATCACTACCACAATCAGCTTCCAAACATTTTCTTCCTTCTTGAACTCCTTGCCATCACTCTCCCCTTGCCCCTGCCCCCACCCCACCCCCTCCTCTGTACCCTCCAGGACCCTTGATCTAGTTGTTGCCTCCACAGAGTCACCTCTCCTGCATTTCACATATGAAAAACATAGAAAACACATAACAAAGACAGCTACCAACAACAACAAAACACAATAGAGACAAACCCCAATATGAAAAAACCCACCGAAAATATTTTTAAAATAGGTCAAGCACACAGTGTATCAGAAGGGAGGTCAAGTCAGATCGATCAATTCAATCTACAGTAGTCTTCTCTCCAAGACTCTCTGTCTGCTAACCAGGTTATTCTCATCCCTCAATTAGGTTTAGAGGGAATAAGCCTTCAGGAAACCACTGGAGCCTTATTTCCTGTGCAGGAATGTTCTTCCAATTATCTAGGTCTGTCTTGTTTCTTGTAGGAGTGTGCTGCAGTTGTCTTTGTGCAAGTCTTTTGTTTCTTGGGCTCTGTTTATTCTTAAGTATTTCATTTTCGGTGTGGCTATTAAAAGTAGTTTTGTTTTCTTTTTCAGAATTATTTTCATTATTACACAGGAATCCAATAGATTTTAAAAAATATTTACCTTGAATGCTGCCACTCTGTTGACTCTCTCAATTGTTCCCAATAATACTTTTGGCTTTTTTAGGGTTTTCCTCATAAAAATTCATATCATCTACAGATAGTGATAGTTTCACTTGTTGACTAATCTGGATTCCTTTTATGTTTTGCGTGGTCTGCTAGCTTAGGCTAAAAGTTTTATCACAATGTTGAATAAGAGGGTATAAGGGACATTCATATCTGGTTCCTGTTCACAGAGAGAATGCTTCTGATTTCTCCCCATTGATCAAGATGTTGGGTGTTGTTATTGCATATATTACCTTCATATGGCAGCACTGTTCGCAACAGCAAGCAGACAGAAACAACCTATCCAGCAATAGAAGAATGGATAAGGAAACGCTGTACATGCACACAACAGACTACTATGCATAACTTCAAAACAAGCACGTCATGACATGGATAGACCTGGAGAATATTATACTGAGTGAAATTATCAATCACAAAAGGACAAATAATACATGAAACCACTAACATAGAGGCCAAACAAATTACTGTTGTACCAAAGGGAGTAGACTTTGGAAGTTGCCAAGAGCAGGGGAGGGCAGGGAGGGAGGTTGGAACAATGGAATGGGTCTTTGGTGGATGCCGACTTGTGTGAAATATGGATAGTAGCCCATGGGGAGAGGAGGCATGTAGGGAAGATGGACTACTGGATGGTTTGATTAGTGGTTAAGACTATAGAATCCAAAACTGATGATCTGAAATGTAAACTGTCACCTAATTTATAATAAATAATTATTTGAAAGAATAAGAGAGAAGCAAAGAAGAAAAAAGAAAGAAAGAAACAGCATGGGAGTTGTGTTGCAAAGGCTTGGGGATTCAGGGGGGAGGGGTGGTCTGATAGCCGAGGACCGGGGGCTGGGCTTCACCAAGGGGGGTCCAGCTCAGAATTAAGCCTGATGCCCGTTCCTTGTGGATGTCTCTCCCTGTCCAGGAACTGCATTGGCAAGCAGTTTGCTATGAATGAGATGAAAGTGGCCGTGGCCCTGACTCTGCTCCGATTTGAGCTGGCACCAGATCCCACCAGGGTTCCTAACCCT